ATATTTGGATTACTCTTATCTTGAAGTGTGGATATAGTTCTCGGTTTCAGACCCATGACAATTTGGACAATCGTTACAAAAGAATGGTTATTGTATTTAGGGGTAACCTGTACAACCATGCTCTATATATTCCATACATTTGAGCACTCTGCCAATGCACCTTCGCGCCTGGTTTAAATATGGCTTTGGAAAATACATTTTTCATTGCTACCAGGTTCTACCTTATTTTCTCTGTGCTGCACTGATACGTCCGCAAAGGACGAAACAGTTCTGTCTGCAGATTGAGTATATTTTTGGTTGGAGGAAAGCAAGTCAGCACACGAAGAACATAAGCCATTATAATTGTTTCGACTAGGCCTTTCAATCCATTAATCTTCAGGCCGAATACAATGGCGATTAACAAGGTAGTAAGCAAGTCCTTATAACCGGCACTTTTGGCGGTCAGAGCATTAACAAAAATAGCACTTGAAAAATAGCACTAGTGGCGCCAACAGCATATTTGGCGGTCAGAGCATAGACCAATTAGCACTTTAAAAGATAGCGCTAGTGGCGCGAACTACACAATAAGACAATGAATATTACCAGTATCAGACAACAATGGGGACCACGGAAAATCAACACTGATCAAACCACCAGCAACTGTCAAATGACGAAGTGAACGGCTGTATCTCCGCAAGAATGCTCCGCAACAAGCGGCTGATACAGGATCGGCATGTGGAACAGTGTGCGACTCATCGCCGGGCAGAGAAGTCGCCAGTGGCAGAACTGCGATGCACAATAGCTACCACAGGAATGGACCAACGGACAATGACGATAATGAGAAGGACTCTGTGATACTCCGTCACCTGACATCGTCACCAGGCTGCCTAAGTGCAGTCTGCAAACATGGCACCCACTGTCACTTCACGATTCAAGCGCGTGCGCGCAACAAATCTCACCTTGCTGTGCTGGAGGCCGTGTACATTGCCAAGCTGAAGCCTGAACTGTGCGTCAAAAAGAAGTATGTGGGAAAGTTGTCTCTGTTTTGACATTGTAGTACCGTGGTCCCCACTGTACTCTGATACTGGTAATATTCATTGTCTCACTGTGTAGTTAGCGCCACTAGCTTTATCTTTTTAAGTGCTATTTTGGTCTATGCTCTGACCGCCAAATATGCTGTTGGCGCCACTAGCGCTATTTTTCAAGTGCTATTTTTGTGTTATGCTCTGACCGCCAAAAGTGCCGGTTATAAGGACTTGCTTACTAACTTGTTAATCACCATTATATTCGACCTGAAGAGTAATGGATTGAAAGGCCTAGTCGAAAAATATATAATGGCTTCTGTGCTTCGTGTGCTGATTGAATATATTCCATACATTGTAGTCAGTGTCCGCAAACCTTATCGGTTCTAAGCTCCAATTTGTCTAGCTCTATCACAGTATTTGCCTAGTACTCTCATTAGGTTTGTGAACAGCTCAGCACTTCTCGAAGTTCAAACACCTACGATATAGCGTGTCCAGCACAATTCTAGTCACTTCTTGTGATCACGCTTTATACCGTTTTGTGTGTGTCAGCCAACATATGCTCAGCACCAGTTCTCGCCAATGGGATTTTGACGGAAAGGGCTCCAGCCTTCAAGGTTGTTTGTTTTGATGGCTTCCTACGGATTGGGCAAGAGACGGTTTTCTGCCTAAGTAACACTAAGACAACTCCTCTACCAAACTGCACTGGTAAGAACGACACCAAAGTACTTGTAATGATCAGCGCAGCACGGAGCCTTTATGATCTTGCGCCTTATTTTGCACCCTTTACCGCTAATGATGTATATATACGTATATATAATTATACGTCATGGTATAAATAGCCATTTTCTAGGGTAGATCTTTTTGTGTGTAATCGTTCCTGTCCAATTGGTATAGTCCCTGCGTCATGTGCGAGAGGTAGCGGGTATGAGACCAGCTTTGTTACATGTGTGAGAGGTATCTGTACGAATCCAGCTTTTGTTACATGATGCGTTTCGTTTTTTCTTCTTTGTCGCCCGATGTTTCAGTTTTGGCGAACTCGTGAGTCACACGACGCTTTGCTGCTTCTTTTGGGTCCTATATCAACTTAGTCAATGTGATGGTAGTAGCCTTGGCCTCCACTTCCCAAAAGTTCAAAGGCCCAGTTTTCAAGACCATAAAGTTGTGGAGTAGGCTATTTGCCTTACTTTTAGCATGTTTGTCCAGTGGCTGAATGTCACACCCTTGTAACGGAGAAAAGGGTTAATGGTATGGAGCAGATGTTCTGATGGTAACGTTTTCCGGAATACTTGTGGCGCCTAATGCATTCGTGAAATGAATGTAATAATAATAATAAAATAATAATAAAACAGGTCGCGTAATGAAGTAGCATAACGATAGATGTGCAAAGTCATGATGCCTGGTCCGCTTCTTTCCTGGGTTCACTACTTCGTGCGTTGCAGCCATGAGCAAAACCAGCTCAGGCTGAGAGTTCCCTCCATGATTGCTTGTCCAAAGCGCGCATTCTGAGCCCACTCAGATCAGGAAAACTGCGGTTTGCGTAAGACTCAGGTAGACTCCGAGATCAAAGCGCAGGTGCAGCTCCATAAGCGGTGTTAGGTAAGTAGAACAAAACCTATGACGAAAGTGGGCAACTGCCGAAGATGTCATGGAATGCATCCATGTCGGCCTCGAGCCAGGCCAAGAGTTCCTTATTGACGTTGTGTCGCAGTACGACTTGAGAAACCCTTCCGCATGCAAGCAAGGTGTAAACCTGGTGCTGGATGATTCGCAATCAGGGTCTTAAACCATCTAATAGGCTGAGAAGTGAACCCTGAACGTCTTCTTAGATTTTTATCCCCTGTGGATGAAGTACAGTAGAGAGGTGATAGAAAAAGCACACTTCACGTTTGTTAGGTCTCCTCAAACTTGCACCTTTTCCCCATTTCTTTCCATGTTTATGGGTCACGAATTCATCGAGTTTCATTTAGGTCTTCTTCCTTGCGCTGTTTCGTACACCTCTCTTCCGTCCATTGCCCTTGTTTATTTGATTATTCCTGAGGATGTCCAACTTTTTTTTTAATTCCACTGGATTATGCTTGTAGCCTATTCCGGGACATGTGATAGCTCAACTCTGGAGAATGGGTACACTCAACCCAATGATAACTCTATGGTTCGCAGACTTTCCTGCAAATCCGGTTATCGACTTTACACCTCGCCGCATTACACTTGTGTTTCATCATCGATTTCAAAGCGAATCACGACCTGTAAAAGTAAGTATTTTATTCATCCCATTTGGTAAGACTGGTGGTGCCATTGAGTCTCAGCCCTTTGGAGCTTTACAACCCTCTGGACTTCTCCTGTAGCTCATTTGTTCTAATTTCGTATTTTCTGTATGCCGCGCACGAGGATTGATGATCCTGAGACCCTTGATCGGTTTAGGTCTTCTTGTCCCACATCCACTGCTTCTGCTTCCATCAATGTGTGCATATCTGTGCACTTTTGCCCGCGTTTCCACAATGATGGTGGTGGCTCTCTTCTAAACAACAAAAATGAGCAACAGTACTCCCTGTCAGTTTTGTGCGGGGTTGTGCACCTCTGACTGTTCAAAATCTGGTTTTGTTGGTGGACTCGATCGCATAACGTATGCCCACAATTTCCCATGTTACAAACAACATTTTGAAGGCAATTTCTGTAGCACTGGAAAACGATGGCATATCGTATGCCACTTTGTCTTGGAGACAGGCCTTCTCTGGTTCTGACGAATGTGTCTGCATGCACACACCATGATTATATGTATACAACCAGGTTTGGCACAAAACCACTTTGTTCAGGCTCCTTTATGAAATGTTCAAGATTGTCTGATGAGTCCTGGAGAGAAAACGTGGACTTCACAACCCTATTCATCTCGTCGCTGTGTCATAGACTATGCGCAATGTGCTAATGTACCAGCCCGATTTTTGGAAATTACCACGCATCGCTTAGGCACCATGCGCAAACACAAGAATGATGGTGGTGAGAGACAAAGAGCGCTATTTCGGGGTTCTTAAATTCAGTTAGCGCTGTGGGAGTCGACATGTATTTCACTTTCATTTCGCCAGATAATGAAATCCCACTTGGATAAGAAACAAGGAACAGAGATCTTCTAATTGAATGAGCTGCTTGCATCGTGCAACACCACGCGGTGTCATTACTGATGAGCTAGGCTTCTGGTACACTTCCACACTGGCACGTATCACCTGTGAACCTGAATGGGATAACAGGGGCATACCCACACTATTATGTTGTGTTCGTAAGTTTGAGGGAGTTGCAAATGGTGTACTAGCTGTGCTAGTACTTCCTCCGCGTCATCGAAATTGTCGCAGTTTGACTAGTGACTTGTCACTTGTTACTGACAACTCCATAAGCTAAGCCATTCAAAACTTATTACACAGTATGATAGTCTGAAGACTAGAGTAACGTTCCAGGACAGTTGGACTGAGAGTTTTCATGCAGAGATGAAGTCCTCGTCGTCGCTGATGTCAATGGACGCAAAAATATCGTTCCGAAATATTTCAAGGAAGGTTGAAAGTTGGTCGCGCCTCATCTCAAACGCTTTGACTTTCTCCACAGGACAAGAGCTGCTATGCTTGTCGTCTGCTAGCTCTGGATGATTTCTACTTCACCACCAACGAAGCCTAGTAAGAATACACGATCGTTGCGAGGTCGGTTGATTACCGTCGCCGGAATCACCTCGATCTTGAAATGAACTTTTTTTAGCCGTGGCATGCCCATTTATTTTAGCTGTTTCGTCACAGCTCAGGTAAGTGTACTATCGCGTCCAGCGGGCCCTGTTTTTCAGCATCACTGGTATACCATGGTACGGCACATGCGCGTGCATCACTAGCACTACGTGTAGAGTCTACACGGCTCTTGCAGGTACAATCATGTTCTGAGTGTCTCAGCCAGAGCAACAAATTTTATCGCTGTTGCAGGCATTTAGTTTGCTGACCCCTCAATGTTTCTCTAAGCGCTGCCACTTGTTCCACGAAGTCATTCTCACCCCAGCTAAGGTAAAACAGTGATGAGGCTTGAGTGAATGGCCATAAGCACGAGAAATGTGCAGGCTGCAACGCCTGACTGATCTCCGCGAGTCGAAATTACCATCGCAGCGACATCAGCGAAGAAATTGTGTCTAGTTCAAAAATTCCAGCTTCCAATAACAGAAAATAGAACTTTACCGTCACCCTATACTGTTCACTATCGCCTATATCTCATTCCCTGCCTCTGGTACGAGTGCTGGTGAGTAAATACCCCGTTTTATATCAAAAGTCAAACTGCGACAATTTCGATGACGCGGAGGAAGTACTTGTTAGCAACAATCCGAACTAGCGCACACACTGCACTGCATTGCCTTGAACTGCATTTAAGCCTGACGTCATGCGCTTTGTTTTGCTGCTTAATCACAAATGGCACCAGCCCGTTTTGCTGAAAAGAAAAGCAAATCTTGCTTGCCCTGTTGTGCTCTTCCAGACAATGGATCGTGCTTCAGCAGTGTTTCTTTTTCCTTTCGTAGGTTTCCTGCCAGCCCGAGTGTCACCTCGACACTGTATTTCTTCAGGATGTCTGACCTACCTGTCAACACTCTCAAGGCAATGCCCTGCCAAGCCCTGCGCGGCGAGCTTTTCTCAGCGCGGCTTGAATACGAAAGGGAACTTTAAAGTATTTTACAGGACCGTTTGCTGGCACGGCTAGCCCTTGGTAGTGAGGTCTGCCCAGGCCAGGAGAACCAACAACATGACAGTGCGGACACGGCTCGCGAGCCCAGAAGCCCGACTGGCACCAATGCCTCCTCCGCCAGCTCAGGTGATGCGGGCTCAACGGATCTCTGAGCTCTCGTACGGGACGAGGTATAGTCGGCTTTGTCGGGCGACATTATATTATTATCGGAGAGCATTGTGCCACTCCTCACCCAAGGCCAAGGCAATGCGGCTGCTGCTGCCACTACGCCAGGCCAAGCTCCTGTAACCCAACCGATCAGCCACCTGCACCAGCTGTGCCCAAGGCTGTGCAAGAACGTATCTTGCGAGGGGAGTTCGTAGATTTTTCAAGTTTGTTGCCTGAAATTCTTGCACACTTCCGGCCCAACATTCCGGCTGGTGCACAGCCCAAATAACGATAGCCAGCTAAATATCGTTGAGTTGGATGACGCGAAGCAGGTGCGTCACAAGGTTCACTATATACATGTAGCTACCCGGTTCGAGGCATGAACCACATACATGTCTGTTATCACGGCTACTGCCCTACACCGTACTGATGAACTGATTACGTATCAGCAGTTGATCCTGACTGCTACCCGCCAGTTCTTCCCAAGCGCGTGGCTAGAGTACGACAGCCACCTGGGGATGCTTGTGGCCCAGTAACCAAGCACGAAGAGGTTGGACACCATCGACGTGAACCTATGGCAGATAACTTTCACAGGCCATGCACACCCAAACTGCGCTCAATGTAAGACGGTCCATCCAGGGGCGGTTTGTGTCCTTTTCGTCCCCAATCTCAGTTTCCCAAGTCAGCAGCATTTACCTCCAGTGGTCGCAACCATACCAGCGACGGCCTAGAAATCTGCCTCAACTGCAATGGAGGTCGCTGTTTTCCGCCGTCGTGCCGCTTCTCCAACACCTGCAGCCAGTGTGGCAAGGACCACCCGTGCATCAGGTGCAACCAGCGCGGAGCCAAGCGGCCACCCCGCCGCTCCTAGCAGAATGGCTACCGAATCGCTTGACTCGGTACGTAGCTTCTTTCCTATACACTCTGCAGACACCACACTGCTAGCTGATCACTTTGCCCTCCAGTTCCGAAACCACTCAGATCAATCAGGTGTTGCGTATGTTCTCCATGGCCTGCGCTATGGCTTTACTCTTGGATCTGCCAGCCAACACGACATTTTGGTTTTCTATAATAATCTGCCCTCGGCTTTCACACACTCGGCATTCATATCCGAGCAATTAGCTGCTTCCTGCGCCCGCAGCGAACCCACAGGCCCATTTCCGTCACCTCCATTTCAGTTTGTGCGCCGCTCTGATATTGGTGTCACCCCCAAAAAGAACGGCAAGCTGAGAATGATCCACCATCTCTCTAGTCCGGAAGGCACCGGCGCAAACGATAGCATTCCTGCTAAGCCGCTCTCTCTACACTACGAGCATTGACAACGCGATGGACATCATCATGTCATGCCCACAGCCTGTGTATTTGTACAAGCTCGATGTATGCAGTGCGTTTTGGCAGATCCCAGTCCGCCGTCAGGACTTCGCTGGGAAGGCTCCTACTACTACGAGCGCTTTCTGCCTTTCGGCCTCCGCTCCAGCCCAGCCGTCTTTGACTCAGTAGCCACAGCAGTCAACTGAATCATGCAACACGAGTTTGCTATAGATCATCGGCTTCATTACCTCGATGACTTTCTCGATGTCTCCACTGGTTTGGCTGCAGCCAACCAGCAACTCACCATCTCCTTCCGGGCATTCACGTATCTCGGCATTCCGCTTTGCTCCATCCCAGCTCGAAGGGCCATCGCCATCATTGACCTTCCTCGGTATTGTCCTAGACTGGGAGCGCCACGAAGCTCGCGGCTACCAGTGGACAAGCTGTCCGAGATCCGTCCGCCACTCATGGCTACTATCAACCAGCGCAGCATCGGCCAGCGTCAGCTCGAGTCCCTCCTGGGGAAGCTCGCTTTTGCTGCCCGAGTCATCGTTCCTGGGCACTTTCATGCGTGAACTATGATCAGTGTGCCCTGAACTGTATCTGTGTATGTGAGTGCGGTGCGTGAAGCCCATCTTGAGAATGGGTTTGTCGGCTCCTTAGTAGATGCGTGGCTTCTGAAGAGGGTGTTGAAGGGCATCCAGTGATGCCATGGTATGGCTGTACTCACGCCTCGCTTTCCCACCACTATGCCAATCCTACGACACCTCACGGATGCACGCCGGAAAAGTACCTGTAGTATCCTGAATGGCCATGACAAGCTGCTCCACCAAGCCACCATGCTGTTTCTTTTGATTTCTTCAGTGTGCCGAATTCACTAATGAGTAATGGCATCACACGGGGCTGTACTAGCTCCCCTGGAGACGGACGTCAGCAACTCTTCCTGCTTTCATCCAAGACGGACCCATTCGGTAAAGGTGTTACTAGTGACCTTGGCCCGTCTGTACCGCCGTACTGCCCGGTCCGTGCCATGGTTAGCTACCCATTTGTCACTCGTCGCGAGGGACCGGAGCAACTCTTGTTCGTACTCTCGTACGAACAGCAGCTGACCAGGGAGTCATTCACAGTAACAGTACGGTCTCTTGTCGCTACGGCCGGTGTGCCATCCCAGTCGAACTACTCCGGGGATTCAGTCCACATTGGTGTAGCCACCACCGCTGCTATGGCTGGTGCCCCCGACTCCTCCTTCTTCCGAGTGGCAGGTCAGTGCGTGTGTATGCTACATCTGGACTACAACAAGCGCTAAGCGCCAGCTATTGTCCCGGCTTGCGGCCGTGTCATGGATGCCATGATCCTCAACTCGAGTGAGTAATGAGCGACTGAACTCTAGCTGCGCAATGCTTGCCTGTGCTGACATTAATTGACCCTTTGCTGTGCGCCAATACTGGCAATAGTGCTTAGCTAACGGAGTGCTGGTTTCATGGGTCCACTCTCACAACTGGTGTTATTTAGGTATTTGCTGCGGCTCTGCCTTGCACAATATTACATCCATTTAGCATTGCAGCTCTACGTTGAGCTAACAGCAGCTCTACTTTGAGCTGACAGCAGCTCTACTTTGAGCTAACAGCAGCTCTACCTTGAGCTAACAGCAGCTCTACTTTGAGCTGACCGCAGCTCTACTTTGAGCTACCCGCAGCTCTACTTTGAGCTAACAGCAGCTCTGCTCTGAGCTAACTGCAGCTTTGCTCTGAGCTAACACCAGCTCTACTTTGAGCTTCCAACCAGTTGTTTCGAAACCAGCACTCCTCAATCCAAGGATGCCTCTTTGTTGACTTGTTTGTGTGAGGGATGGGGCTAACGGGAAACGTCTGAACAAACAATTGACGGTCACCACCAGATACGGAGTCAGGGACCTGAGCTTTAGTTCAGCGATGCCCTACCACGAAGCTATGGTGTAGTCATCATCTCAGCAGAAAATGATCAACAGCATCTTGAGATTTCGAAAATCATAATAATTACGTATTCCAGGTATTCTGCTGTAGATGCAACTTTATTCCCCGAGCCATGCAAAAGACGTTACTTTATGGTCGCTTTACACGGTACGCGGAGCAAATTTGAAGAATCCCAAAATACTGACCAAGGTTGAAGAAGTTGAAAACGGAAATTTACTGCAGGATGAATTTGGATGCAACAGTCGAAAAGGTGTGCTAGGCTTCGTCTCCGCCACGTTTGTTTCGTTTCGCCCGTTCATACGGAACCGACAATCAAAAAATGTTTTTGCAATGTTCTTCATGGGAGGAGTGTTGTCGTGTGGCATTTTTCAACTATTACTTGAGTGTGATTGGTGTTTCCAAGACAATACGTGGCACAAGGCGAACTTTGATGGATCCTTTGCTCCCGTGTGGACGCGCGAAAGCGGTACAAACGACGACCACCTCGGATCACATTTGATCGTGCAAACGCATAAAAACGAAGAAATCTATCTATCCATCCATCCATCCATCTATCCATCCATCTCCCTCTTTCTGTTTATCTGTCCGTCCGTCCACCATTTTCTCTGTCTGCCTCTCTGTCTTTCGCATCACCTCACATTCACACACAAATTCTCTATCTTGGTCCTTGTGGGACTGTCTCTCCGTGGCATCGTACTGTTTGTCTCTTTCCTCTTCCTTGTGTTCTAGCCTTCCTCTCAAGCATGTATCTGTATTTTGACTGTTTTGCCCGTTACTCCGTTAGCTGGGCTGTATGTCGCTCTGCCTTCCGCCCCTCTCCCTGGAAGCTAGCCTCTTATGTGAACATTCATACAAGACTCTGAACTGGCTTACTGGTGGCAGCTGATTTTCATGGCACTCCATGATCCCCCGGCCTCTGAATTATTTCTCTCCTAAATGTTTCCCCTCGGTATCAGAGCTCTCATTGTCCATCTCGGACCAGATTGCATCTACCCCTTCCCCATTATCTAATATGTTCAACTTTTAAGTCCCCTCGTGTTTCTTTGCACATTCATTCCGTTTCTTGTTCTTGAGCACCTCTGCTCATCTGGTCACTGCGAATTAAAAAATAAAATCAACATCAACAAATGCGGGACTGAAAACGGAAAACTGGCCATGCGTTGTCGTGTAAACCTAGCCTGTGACGTCTGGCGCTAGCCAGGGTCCCCAGGGCATGCCTGGTGCTATCCTGTACATGTCTCGTGCCCCACCACCAAAGACAGCTGGCCACCTAGTATAGGGTTTTCAGCTGCAAAATCATAACGTGAAGCTACTTGGAAGAACGTGTATGTACCGTACTGGCAATATATAATTATGGTCGCAGTGAGGCCATGAAGCGTTACATTGGCACATGTTTACCGCACGCAGGGCGTTACATGCAAAGTCGCACAGGAGCCGTTACACAGGTTTCTATATTGCCGCAGTCCTTTTTTTGCTATTGCCGCATCACTTTTTTTGCTATTGCCGCATCATTTTTTGCAAACTGCAATGAAAAGATCACCGCACCCCGCCGGACGCGCGTTACGAACGCAACGAAAATTTGTCGCACTAGCCTGGTCGCGCGTTACGCCGCACCCCCTGCGTTACGCGGCAACATATATCGCCAGTACGGTATTCAAAGTGTATCGGGGGAATGCATGCAGGGCCGGCGATAGTGCGGGTTCGAATCCCATGTTAACTCTTTTAGAAAATGGAGAAATGAAAAGTATATAACATCGCTGTACTTTTTTGCCTAGGTCATCAAGATTTTTGTGCGAGCATTTTGGGGTTTGCTGCTAATGGGCCGGGAATGTTAGGATCGGGTAGGGTGCAGTAATTTCATGGGCGTGGCTGTGAAAAATTAGAATGCTGAGATCAATAACAGAGGACTATGAGGACGAGCAAAATGACAGGGATCACAGTGTTGAAGCTCTGAGCAAACGGCGTCAGCAGGAGTGCCTACACAGAGAGTAGAGATAGGAGAAGAGAGGTCTCGCCGTCTCCAGAGTCGCCGTGCTTCCAAAAGGTTAGGCTGACTACAAGAAACAATGGAGCACAAATCCCGTCATTTGGAGCATCGCCGACCTCATGAAAAGATACGACAACAGCAAGGAACTGCTGAACAAGCATCCAGTCCGCAGAAGAAAAGACGTGATCATGCTCGAACTTGTTCGGAATGCGGTGACTGCGGTCCGTAGGCATAGGGCCGTCATCTATGCCGCTATGTAAAAGACATAACTTTATGGGCTACATCATTGTATTGCAAAAGGTTTCCATTAGTTCGAATAACATTCAACATGAGCCGGGCAAAAAGGCATAGCACAGGGTCCTGAGCTTTCAAGCTCTCTCGTTAAGGATTATACCGTATTTCCGCGCATATAAAAAGCAATGGTGTTATATCCGAATATACGGCCACCCTCACTTACAAAGCCATGGCATTATAAGTGAACAAATTTCAATGTGGAGGAAGTTGCATCCGGCGTTAAAGGTGAGTTCAATTCTTTCAGTGAACCTACAGTAGCGGTGATTCTCTCTACATGTACCCATCCCCACTGTCACATGCCATACCGCCATCGCACCTTCGCACAAGATTGTATGCCACCTTGTACACAATAGGTTCACGATTTGAAAATTTCATGGAATATTTAAAGTATATGGATGCTCGACATGAACGTGCAACGTCATCATACGAGTACTCGAAGTTCATACTCTGCCAATTTTTTTGCATGTAAGCGTCTCTCACTTTTAGCGCCATGGCGTTAAAACTGAGGCTATTTTCACAAAAAAATTGGTCCAAAACAGCGATGTTTCACCTATAACGCCATGGCTTTATATGCGCGGAAATACGGTATGTAGCTGTGAGCTTTTCGTACCATGACTTATACTTTGGGACTTCATTTCAGAAATTGTTTGCAACTCTTCCTCGACAACCATTGACAATGGAATTCTTCAGCCGCCGGACGGCATCGCCAATGAACAAGCCACAGTTATATGCAGTGCTGGATACTCACTGGCCGGTTCGCTTAATGCCACGTGTGGGGCGGATGGCATGTGGAACACAACGGCAGTGTGCAAAGGTTAGAACATCATTTTCGAATGCAATCATCAAATTTTTATTCTGAACAGAACGTTTCTCGCTTATTATTAAACATATCTTTGACCCCAAGATCTGGAGAATATTATGATCAATATCCCGTATTCGTGCTTATCACTCTCTTCGTATTGACTCCCATTGATTTTCGCTATGCGTAAGCAGTCAAAATATTCCTGCATATTTCACTCCTTAGCGCTATATTGACTGCTTATAATTATTTGACTGCTTATGGGTGGCGCAGTTGTACAGTGCCATGGTGCAACGGTTGTGAAATCATAAAACCGGGATTCATGAGGTAATCGTTCTAAAATTTGAAATAATACTCATAAAAAGGACACACTTCAGGCTCATTACAAACATCTTGAAAGTTTTTGTCTTCACAAGTATACTTTCAAGCCTTCTCGTCAGGTGAAATACAGGCAAGGGAAAAGGAAAAGGAACAGTGGATCAAATACAGTAAGAAGGCTTGTAAGTATACTTGTGAAGACAAAAACTTTCAAGATGTTTGTAATGAGCCTGAAGTGTGTCCTTTTCATGAGTATCATTGCATTTTTGTCTCAGAGGAAACTGTTTACAAATTTGAAATACCGACTGTTTGTCGTGAAAAATCTAATATTGACTTCGTACTTGGTCAGTATAGGAGAAAAATGCCTCGTAAAAGACCTCGGTCTTTTACCCGGCTTTTATTGCCTATATTGACCTCGTACTCAGTTACCGGTAATATTAGATACGTATTTTGTATTCGTATGATTTCAGGTGATCCGTGTCACGAACTAACCATACCTAATAGCAATGTGTCTGGCTTGAAAGCGTCAACCGGTGAGGTGTTTTATGTCGGCTGCAAGGAAGGATTCAATCTACAGGGCAACCCAACAATATTTTGCGTGTCACCTTCATATTGGAAATCTCTTCCACACTGCGAGCGTAAGATTTCCGCCAATTCTGCTGCATGCCATGAAAACACAGTACTCTGAATGCATTGTCGCACTGAAGATCGAGGATGCGATCCCTCTGAATATTTTTTCAAATCAATAAATATAAAGGGAAAATATTTGATCCTAAAGCTTTTCTCGTGTTGAATATCTGCTGCGTTGTCGATGGAGCAACGCCAAAAATATCTAGGGGTTATTGAACATTATCAAAAATGCTGTACTTCAAGCTGCGAATTAGGTCCTGGCTGCTATTTGAAAACGCAGATGACTCATGGACATAAGATTGGGAGGGGTGGAAGGAAGACTAGGTGTGCAGGACGGGGGGAAATAATTATCGTGGCTGGAATTCGATTCCACAATGGCGCACCGCAAAAGTGTTCTTTCCGAACAGAGGCAGGCAAGAACAGGATTTTCACAGGTTCTACTGTGTTGCGATGACATGCTTCGTAGATATTTTAAGGCTGTTAAGGAGAAGATTCCCTGAGTCGAATTTAGGCAGGAAACGTAATCCGGCGAGTGATCTGCTGCTGCGAAGCCTTAAGAGCTTGGATTTGATATCAGTTTGCTATTTTCTGCTTTGTTCCTAACTAGGTACTGTTTTCTTTTGTTTTCAAGTGGGGTAGGAATTGTTGACTAGAATTCACGGTGGGGCCTAAACATATTGAGCAGGTATAAGTTTGACCGTGTTTCAGAATAATGAAGGGGAAAATTCAGGAATGGACTCGGATGGAGAGCCAAGGATAAATTTATAGTAAAGTAAAAAGGACCAAGGAACTACAAATTACCGTACAGTGTCCGCTAACACCACCAGTTACTAAACAATCAGATCATGCCATAACATTGTACGACACTGATCGACGGTACTGACTTTCTACAACTAACACAACTAAATCCATCATCGTTTTTTGAATAAAGAAAATGAAAAGACGGGATATGTTCTCAGTGGTAGAAGAGGCATTCAGTTATCTGCCGGTTTGTAGTCCTTCCTAGTACGTGTATTTTGCATTGCCATTGTATTGCATATTCAGCGCTAAAGTCATGACGGTTTCATGCGGCGTCAGGAGGCGCTAGCCCTCGTTTAAGGTCCTGAACTGTTGTCTTGGAACACAGCAGAAATTAGCAATTAATCAAAAAGATAATGGGAGTGAAAGGAGAGGGTCAAATGACGGGTGAATTAGGGGTAGAAGTGAGATTCGTGGGCTACTGATGACTGGCAATAATTTGTCTTAGGGTAGGAGAAGCACAGGCATGCTCCTGGAAGAGGCTAGCGGCGGTCAGTTGTCCAATCCTAGCCAGAATTTTTTTTCAGTTTGGATCTTTTTGTTTTAACAATGCAAAACAATATTGTGGAAAGGTCACAATAATAAGAGACAAGATCAAAAGGAAAGCTATACAATAAAAATAATATTAATAAAAACGTAGCCTGTAAAATGTCACGTCCGTCATCATCACAACTGCCACTGTCCGTCGTCATCTGAAGAAGCTACCGACGTGCAAAGCATCTGGTCCCGACGGCATCCCTAACCGGGTCCTCAAGGCCCTGGCACCATCCATAGCATTCCCTTTGTGCCATATTTTCAACATGTCTTTTACCACGGGCATATTCCCTTCCGCATGGAAAACAGCGAAAGTCATACCTGTATACAAGAAAGGTTCCCGCCACGAGCCTGCAAACTACCGCCCTATCTCTCTTCTTCACTGCGTGTCCAAAGTATTTGAACGCATCTTTTATGATCACTTATACATACATGTTTCGCTGTTTCTGAGTCCCGCACAATCTGGGTTTCGTAAAGGCGACTCCACCTCCCTTCAACTGATCCGCATCGTCCAGTAGGTGTGCCAGCATAGGGATAACAGAGCGCTTGCTGGTATTTGCTTCTTTGACTTGGCCAAGGCGTTTGATACCATCTGGCATCGAGGACTTTTGGCCAAGCTCAAGCATGCATTCAGGGTACGTAAACAACCACTCTCCTGGCTGAAATCTTATCTCTCTGGGCGTTATCAGTACGTAACTGTGCTTGGCACATCCTCGGCTGCAGAGCCAGTATTGTCAGGCGTTCCTCAAGGATCAATTCTTGGTCCCCTACTTTTTTTAATTTACGTAAACGATTTACATGCAGTCTTCCCGGGAACGTCTCTGTTTGCTAACGACACCACCCTTCTCACCTCATCAGCTGCCCTCACTGGCATGAAAAACAACTTGCGTGCTGGCATTCAGGAAGTTCTTTCCTGGATGTCGTCCTGGAGATTGTCCCCAAATCTATCAAAAATAGATAAAGGTCATGCTCTTCCCGCCCCAGCCAGAGTTCACAACACTCATCCATGCCAACTTTCCAAATCCAATTGACATAGTGTCTTCTCACAAACACCTTGGTATTGTGATTGACTCTGTACTCTCTTGGGTACCCCACATCGAATATATTTGTAAAAAATCAAGTAAATCCTTAGAAATTCTCTCTCCCCACTGCTCCTACCTCCAACTTTCTTGCCAGCTTCATGTAGCCTACCTTCGCCCAATATTTGATTATGCAGATACGTCTTGGGTTGGATTATCCTCTTCCGCTGCTGCAAAGCTTGAAATACACCACAAGAAAATCCTTAAAATTTTCCTCCGTCAACCCCACATACTCTCATCATCCGCCCTTTATAAAATCGCTAACAAAACCCCGTTATCACATGGACGCAGTGCACACCGGGCTTCTCTTGTCCATTCTATTAAGCTTGAGTTTGTGCCCACCTCATCTCATGTGTTTTAATTGGTTCTCTTCTCTAAGAACTAGAAACTCGCTCTTACTCCCTAAGTGTAACTCATCCACTCTTTTGCGCTCCCCTCTCTTTATTGCTTATTCTGTTTGGCTGACTCTACCCAGAGAAGTTAAGGATCTGGCCTCACTCCATCTGTTTACGATCCGTGCCGCCCCTTATTTACTACGACATAAATAGCTCGTCCACATGTCCTTTCTGCCTCTATGTTTTTCACTGTTTTTATTTAACATTATCTTTCTTCACGGAGTTGTTGTTGCTGTTCAGTTTGCTACTCTTTCTTTTCCCTCCCCTTACTTTTATTTATCGCCATGGTTGGCAATCACCCACTCTCTTCACATTGGCCGGTGTTTCTACCGAGTCTTGAGATGTTGTAACGAGAGAGCTTGGAAGCTCAGGGCCCTGCGCTATGCTTTTTTGCCTTGATGACCTAGACAAAAAAAGCATAGGGATGTTTTCTTTAAAAAAATCCTTTTTTTTAAACCTGGGATTCGAACCCGCACTATCGCGTGCCCTGCATGCAGCCCCCGATACACTTCGCAAACATACTAATTTTTCCAAGTTGTTTCACATTGTGATCTTGCATTTGAAAGCCCTATTTGAATATGCATTGTGGCCAGCCATCTTTGATGGCACGGTACGGTAGGGAATAGGTACGGGACAGGTACGATCGAGGGTAATACGACACCGTCTAGCTGCCCGCAATATTCAAATAGGGCTTTCAAAAACAAGATTAACGTGAAGCAACTTGGAAGAATGGGTATGAATGCGAAGTGTATGGGGGAATGCATGTAGGGCGATAGTGTGGGTTCGAATCCCAGGATATGCCGATCACGGACGTTCTGGACTCGACGAGATGTCTGTCCTGACGTTTCCTGGGATCGGCTTAGACTCTGCCGATCACGGGCGTTCTGGACTCAAAGGGATGTCTGTCCTGACGTTGCCTGGTACCGCCGGACTCTACCGATCACGGGCGTTCTGGAGTCGACGGGATCTCTCTTCCGACGTTTCCTGTGACCGGCACTGAATCGCTCGTTCACGCTTATTTTGGAGACGACGGGATCTCTCTTCCAAAGTATGCTTATGCTGACGCATCCTATCACCTAATCGGCGTCTATTCTAATTTAATTTCCTCTTCGTCTCCCTATTTCTTTCCAAATCTCCCTCTACATCAGGGAGTCGTATACATAATACGACGAATATTGGTACGGTACGGGACAGATACAGGAGCCCGCAAATATTGTGGACAGCTGTTATGTACAATCCTGTAGAGCCTTTGTAGTCACAGATACGGGACCGATACGGGACAGATACGGGATAGCTCCAGCCGTGACACAAACAAACAAACAAACAAACACCAAACGAGAGAGCTTGGAAGCTCAGGGCCCTACGCTATGCTTTTTTGCCTTGATGACCTAGACAAAACAAAGCATAGGGATGTTTTGAATTCTTTAAAAAAATCCTTTTTTTAAGACATAACTTGGGATTCGAACCCGCACTATCGCGCCCTGCATGCATCTCCCGGTCTTTAAAAAATTCTTTTTTTTAAAGACATAACCTGGGATTCGAACCTGCACTATCGCGCCCTACATGCATTCCCCCATACACTTCGCATTCATACCCATTCTTCCAAGTTGCTTCACGTTATGATCTTGCATTTGAAAGCCCTATTTGAATATGCATTGTGGCCAGCCGTCTTTGATGGTACGGTACGGTATGGATAGGTACGGGACAGGTACGATCGAGGGTAATACGACACCGTCTCCCGTACCGTACCATCAAACACAGCTGGCCACATACAGCTGCCCGCAATATTCAAATAGGGCTTTCAAACGCAAGATCATAACGTGAAGCAACTTGGAAGAATGGGTATGAATGCGAAGTGTATGGGGGAATGCATGTAGGGCGATAGTGCGGGTTCGAATCCCAGGGTATGCCTGAAAAAATAGGAGAATTGAAAAATTTATAACATCCCTATGATTTTTTGCCGTCAGATACGGGATAGCGCCAGGCGTGACACAAACAAACAAACACACAAACAAATACCAAATTAAAGCTGTGTGGACCCTGGCTAGCGCCAGACGTTACTGAAGTAACGTCTTCTGCATAGCTACGGGAATTAAAGCTGTGTGGACCCTGGCTAGCGCCAGACGTTACTGAAGTAACGTCTTCTGCATAGCTACGGGAATTAAAGCTGTGTGGACCCTGGCTAGCACCAGACGTTACTGA